TCATAACAATAATATATGGTAATATAGGGTTAATAAATCAAGTAGAAAATTTAGGAACAAAAAAAGAAATAGTAAAAAAGAAGATATAATATTTAAGAATACATATAGTGAATAAAGAACAAACAGTAAAATATATATATATATATATATATATATATATATATATATATATATATATATATATATATATATATATATATATATATATATATATATATATATATATATATATATATATATATACATATATGTGGTATGTGTGTGATATGTATATTTGATATATATGTGATATGTATGATATATGCATGTGATATATATGTGATATTAAATGCGGACTAAAGATAAAAAAGTTTCAAGTTATTTCTTATTTTTTATTTTTTTTAAATCTTAAGAAACAGATGACTTGGCACCGAACCAACCTATACAACGAATATATTGAAATGTGAAAACAGAACACAAAGTTTAAAACTATTTAATTGTAAAACAATTGTTATTTTTCAGTCAGCTTATTGACTTTTATTTTTTCTACTGTATAGATAAATATTATACAATTAATTTAAAAAGCAATTACTTATTTATTGAGAAGTTAACAGGTAATTAAAATTATAGAGGTTTCTGGTTTTTTAGAAAAATGCAAATTCTTACTCCATATACGGCATAGCCACAAATGATGACATTTTTTAAGTTGAATTAACTTATAGAATTTCCAAGACCAACTTATTGTCTATGAATTTTTTTAAATAATAATGTTTTTCTTACACTTTTTTTTTAAAAGGCTTGAGCCAACGGGCCTCGGCAACGTGGGACCATGGTTTTTGTTTGTTTAAATAGAGTAGTTTTAAGTATTACTTTTTTTTGGTAGTCTTTGGTATGTTTTGTTGGTGCTTTACCTCCCCTTCCTTACTAAAATGTCACGCACATGTACTTCCAAAGAAAAATTTCGTGGTAATAAATAAATAAAATAACTTGTTTATTGAAATGTGAAACTTTATTTCACCTTTAAGAAAAAACAAACCAAATGTACTAAAAAAAAATTCTTTCCAAATGAATGCACTTTAAGTGCTGAACCAACGAAAAAATCCATTCATACAGTGCTGAGTAGCAGCACTGTATGGATGGGTTTTTAGGTTTGGTACTTTTTCCACAACAAACTACATAGTCAATATATTAATGGCAGTGATAATCCAGAAAATTTTATTAAATATGGGTTCAACGACTTTTCCACTGAACCCTTCAAATAATAATACCGATTCAAGACTACAGGAAAAACAGGTCGTTATCAAACGCCTTATACAAATGATACAAACGATACAAACATTTTATCATTTAAGGAACATTTATTTGAAGTTTATGATAAAAAACCTCCCAAAATGTAACATGTATAAAACAAAAAAACGTCTAGAATAAACATGGTAACAAAAGTTCTTAAAAAATCATCAAAAGTCATTTATCACTTTAAAAAAAAAGTGTCAAACTGTTTGAAAATCAAAGATAATACCTTAAATTCATTTGTGACACTCTTCCGTTTTTTGGTTTTGGACACTATTCCCTTAATTCATTTCTAACACTATTCCGTTTTTTTGTTTTCGACAATATTCCTTGAATTCATTTGCAAGACAATTCCGTTTTTTTGTTTTTGACAATATTCCTCGAATTCATTTGCGACACTATTCCGTTTTTTTGTTTTTGACACTATTCATTAAACTCCTATGAGAAATTATTCAATTTTCTATTTTTGACACATACTCTGGTCCAATATATATAGAAGAGGTCAAAACAAAGTTCATTAACAATACTTAGTATTGTAAAAAAGAAAATTTCTGCATTAAAAAGCTTGTTTACTAAAGATGGAGTGAACTTGTTATTATTATAACTTTTGATGGTAGAATAGTCAAAATAAAAAAATACAATACAATGTGTCAAGACTTATTTCAAAAAGCTTAATAATGGCTATCAATGCACCTGATGTGCTTTTAGCAGGTCTGAAAGAATCAGAGATTATACTTTTATTTGTTAATGTGAAAGTCATCTTAACTAGTTAATTAAGAGAAGAAACAAAGGAAAAAGTTGATAAAGTGGATAAAGCAAAACTGATGAAATTTCTCCACAAGTTTGGTCCTGCATGCCATTAATGAATTTAAAACTAAATCTTAAAACAAAAAGTTTTTAAATTTTTAATTAACGGTTGCACAATAAGAATCATGGGGAAAATTAAATAAAAAGAGTTCTTTAACCTATAAGGTTATGGTTTTTGTAGCGTTGACCGAAATCTGCTAGACCAACGGGTTAGAGGTACAAGAAATGAACAGACCAACGGGTTAGAGGTACAAGAAATGAACAGATCAACGGGTTAGAGGTACAAGAAATGAACAGACCAACGGGTTAGAGGTACAAGAAATAAACAGGATTAATAATATTCAAAAATTTTACTATTTTCCTGAATAAGTTTTTTAACACCACGAAGTACCGGATAACTTTACTAGTTTTTATATAAATACATATTCTTGTGAAAACCTCTGGTTTGATTTGCAATTTATCCATACCTATAGCTGTGGAGATTACTATAAACATACCTATTGGTGTGGAGATTACTATAAACATTTGGGAGATTACTATAAACATATTTTCATTTGTATTAATAAAATTTAAGTTAATATCTTTATGAATTTTGAAAAAATTATAACTTTTTAAACAATTTAAAGTTGTAAACAAATGTTTTGAAATTTGATAGACAATCAAATGCGTAAGTGGTCCGATTTAACCTAACAATGATCGCGCCTGTCTGTCCCAGTCTTTGTAAATGATCGCGCCTGTCTGTCCCAATTATAAGCTTATAAATAAAAATAAGCTTATTAAAATATTAGTTTTATGAATTTTCATAACTTTATAAGTATGAAACATTTTAATTATGTATTTTTACGTTCTTTAACAAAAATTATTTTTATCATTAAGATCTTTAGATTTCAGTCTACAGCCAGTCATCAGACAGCTAATCAATATAATGATTATATAACAAATTTAGATAAGATTGTTAAACTTTGATAAATAATTTGAAATCATGGTATGATGTAATATTGTGTCGTAATAATGTGAAAGCAAAGAAAGTTTTGTATTTAGAAAGTTGCTTCAAAATAACCATGTATCAACTTGCGTCACTATTCTTTTTTCACATTTTCGACAATCAAATTTGCGACACTATTCTATTATATATATATATATATATATATATATATATATATATATATATATATATATATATATATATATATATATATATGTATACATGTATGGTTTTACACTTAGTATAGTTAAAAAAGTAAACAATGACTGATGAACGCTTCCTTTCCCAATTCCTTTTTCATTATTCCTGTGCGCATTTGTTTCCATTTTCATTTTTAATAACTTTTTTTTATATACATTTAGATTCAACTGTTATTTTTAAAAATAGGTGTAAAATAGAACACAAGTTAGTTCAAAAGATAGAGCGTGAAGATCCACGAAATTGTCAAGCAAATATAAATCTAACAAAAAAAGTATACGCATAACCATAAAATTTACATACTTTGTTTAAGTGAAAAAATATTGAATTCAACTAAACAAATAATAATAAACAATAATAATGTGGATATAAATGTAAAAAATACACATGATGAATGCAGGAATGTGACAAATAACCACGTGTTAAGTTTTAATGAAATATAACAATAGTTATGTTACTCTAATCAGAAGAGAAATTTGTATGTTTATATTATATTATATATGTCTCATATATTATATAATCGAGTTCAACTGTTTCTGTTAAAAGTTCTTCATCATTATCATTATCAGCATTCTTTATCATTTATTTATTTTATACCTATGATTTACTTTCATACTACTGCCAACTTTGTTGCACAATTTTTCATTTTGAAATTTCTAGCAAATTTATCAATATATACTGAAAAGGTAAACTTGAAAAACTCTTTATTAAAGTTGATCTAATCAATAGAACGAAAGATTTTACAAAAAAACGATTAAAAGTTCAAATAAACATAAATAGTGTTTTTTCTGCTTTTTTATATTTTTTGAAAGTGTATTTGTTTTAAAATAATCAAATATTTTTTTAATTTGATACTATTTTGAAGTAATGTTCTAGTGCTTTTATAAGACAAAAAGTTGACCAGTAAACATAAAAAGTTGGTGGCAAACAATACTTTTGTTAGATTTAAACTTTATAGCGATCATTATTGTAAATAGGAAAAAGTCCGAGAAAAGAGCCCTTAATTATATATAAATAAATCCCACTAATTATAGATTGGAGTCTTTATAAGTCCCACAAGTTGTGGATTAGAGCCTTGATAAATCCCACAAATTATAAATTGAATTTTTAAAGTTATGCCGGTCAAACATATATATATATATATATATATATATATATATATATATATATATATATATATATATATATATATATATATATATATATATATACACAAACTTATATTTTTTTTTAATAAAGTAATTTTACAGCGCTGGCAATAAATGTCACCAGGTGATAAAGATAAAAAAGTTTTAGTTAAAAATAAAGAGTTACATCAATAATAGAAGTTTTTATTCAATAATCTCGAGATTAGTGTTGTATAGTGATCGTAATAGTATTATATTTTTTATAATGAATTACGATATAAAATTATCCATTTTTTCAATACTCTAAATAGTAAACCATAAATTAATTTGACCAAACGTGTTACCAGCCAATCATATTTTTGTACTTAAAAATAACAACTAATAATTGAAAGGCATCAACCATTTCCCACTTGGCTATTTTTTAATCACATAAATATGCTAAAAAAGAAACGTATACTGTCGGATTTGCAATATCTTTGTTTTTGCCAATCATAACTGCTTACTAAAATCGTGAAAAGTATTTAAGCGTGACCATTTTTTTATTTTTAAAGTTTTTATAATTACTTTACAAGGGCTTAATTCAGATTTTAAAAACTGTATATTTTTTATAGTTTTATTTAAGTTGAAAAAAGTACTTTTATTATAAAAAAATTAAAATCATATATAAAAGAAGCGTCAAAAGTTTTTCATTATATTTTATGTTAATTTTTGCTTTGTGAGCGATGAGTTTAAAAACAGAGGCTTTGAACCGACATAATGAGTATCGTAAAAACCATGGTGTGTGTGCTTTAACATGGTCTGCAAAACTACATTCATGTGCTCAGAATTGGGCAAATAATCTTGCAAAAAAAGGTTACCTGCAACACGAACAACAAAATTTATACGGAGAAAATATTGCAGTTATGAAAGGTTTATTTAATTTTAAAAATTGTTTTAAAAGAAAATGACAAAGAAACCATGGAAACCATGGACGCATGATAAAAAATGTGCAAATTATTGTTCTTTTTTAAAAAACAGAATTTTTTTCTAAAAAAAAACCTCTACTTTGATATTGAATATAATATATATATATAATCTTTGTAAAGAAGTAACATCAAAAATAAAGCACTTATTAGCTTGGTATAAATTTTACCGTACTTTGTTTTAGGTTCAGAGTTGAACGGATATAAAGCTACTGATATGTGGTACAATGAAATAAAAGATTACAACTTTAACAACCCTGGATATAACTCACAAACTGGTCACTTTACTCAAGTAAGCAAAACCGAAAAAATGTTTACTATTTGAAAAAAAAAAAAATTCTAAATTGATAAATTAATTATTTATACGTTAGTAAATAAGTAGTTATTTTTAAAGGTTGTTTGGGCAGATTCAAAAGAGTTTGGAATTGCGAAAGCGGTTTCTTCAGACGGAACCGAATTTGTGGTTGCAAGGTATTTTCCGCCTGGAAATAGTTTGCAAATGTTTAAAGAAAACGTCAAACCTTTAACAAAAACTGCAGTTAATAAAGAAAATGAACCTATGCGGAAAAAACCATTAGAACCAAAACCACAGCCCACTAAACAAAGTAAAAAAAGTGAAAAACGTGATTGTATTATATTATAAGTTTAACAGAATATTTAATTTTTTTTTTGAGAGTTACAGTTTTTATAATTGTTTAAACGATCGTTGTTAAGTGGACAACTTGGCGCGTACAACTAGGTTTGGGAACTTGAGTGCTTTTATAATATATTTTTCAAAATAAACGCATCTAGTTTTTTTTTATGGCAAATAAACCAAGCTGGCCAAGGAAAATAAATTATTTTCTAAAATCATTTAGGTTTGTGTAAAGCATTTCGTTTTTTGACATTTTGACGTAAAAGTTTATCATCGAAAAATTTATTTCTCTTCTTATGTTCAGAGCAAAGTTTTTTTATTTTTAGCCTAACTTATACAATTATTTGGTAATAAAAATCTAATGGTAACACTTAAAACTTAAATTCCATGTTTTACTAAACCAGTCTAATACTAAGATATATTAGGAAGCTAAGAAATAACGCAAACACTGTGATTAACTGTCAATTTATTTTGTGAAATCTTTTGGTTTTATCAACTAATTTAACCAAATGAGGTCCTAATATTTTACTAACTTTTTCTTCAGCCTTTTGCGTCCGCATGCAATGTTTAAACTTGCGGCAACTTAACTTGTTGCCACAATATTTAAAAAGGAAACTTTGCTGACTAGTGTGCAGTACAATTTTTTTTTTTCTTTTTAATCAAAATTCATTGTGATTGGTTGGTCAAAATTTGTAACTTACTAAATGACCATTTTTGAACAACCTTACTGAATAAGTTAAATGGCTCAGCCTGGTTGTGCCAACTTTTTCATCTCCAAATATCCAAAAAAATAATTTCTAAAAAAGTAACAAAAATTTTTTTTTTCTTTAACTATTACCTAGAGGCCCTTAGGTTAATTAAATTTCAAAAAAACTTGTATAAATTTTCTCATGTTTAGAAATGCGAACTAATAGACACCATATTTATTAATTTTTTTATTTTACTTGAATTTTTATGCAATATTTTTATATACAATGTTATATCCGAAGATATTGTTGGCTTAGCATAGGAATAGGCACAAATAGCTATCAAGTAGCGCCCAAAGTAGCGTCCTATATTGACCAACGTTTTTTTGCGTACAGAAGTACTGCTCAAGTGCTGAGTTGGCGGAGGCAGGATTCGAACCTGCATTGCTCAACAGTCTGGGTTTTAACATTTCGTTTAACGCTCTAACCAACTGAGCTATCCAGCCTACCAAACAACATCCTTAAATCTTTTTTTTTTTAATTAGAATAATAGTAACCTTGTTCAAATATTAAACTTCAATATAAAAGTCAAACTTTTTAAATTTACAATTTTTGTTGTATTGTCTTCTATAGTTAGACCACGAAAGAAGCTGTGCGATTGTAGGAACCAGTTGGTTCCTACACAAAACACAAATCGCATAAACTTATTTTGTGAGTGAGGATAAATGTTTTGCCAACATATCCAGATATTATGAAACATTAAATATAGTTGATTTTGAGACATTTTGACACCAATCATCAATTCCAGCAATATTCTATTAGCAAATTACCATCTTTAGCAATTGATTACCAAAATAACAATGGCCACCTTCTTAAGCATAACCTGAGAACAAAATATCACAGTTCGTGATAGAATAAGAAACTAAGTTTCCAATTTTATGTAACTTAACTTTGAAATTACTTTAAAATTAATTTTGATCGAATTTTTGACTTTAACAACACGTAAAAGTTATATCAATAGGATAAATACTTTTAAAAGGATAAATACTTTTAAACATATAAAATAAAACTCCCTGCCAATAAATTCTCTCAAATAATTTTCAATAGCAAACAATAAATATTTTAGAATTTTAAAATTTAAAACAGTCAAAAACTTTTAAGCTTTGAAATCACATCAAGATAGTAGATTGGGAGATAATTGGGTTAGTAAAATGAAGCTATTGCTAAAATGACAGCAATCAAGATTTTGATTATATGACAGTCATCAATTCATCTTGATGACAGTCATCAATTCATCTTGATGACAGTCATCAATTCATCTTGATGACAGTCATCAATTCATCTTGATGACAGTCATCAATTCATCTTGATGACAGTCATCAATTCATCTTGATGACAGTCATCAATTCATCTTGATGACAGTCATCAATTCATCTTGATGACAGTCATCAATTCATCTTGATGACAGTCATCAATTCATCTTGATGACAGTCATCAATTCATCTTGATGACAGTCATCAATTCATCTTGATGACAGTCATCAATCACAATAAATCTTGAGTTTTCAAATTTAAAAACTCAAGATTTATTGTGAAAAAACAGAAAAAATATCATTCGCTGTTTTTTTTTGATTTTGGTACTATTACAGCACATAACTCATATGATAGTTTTGACTATAGTAAAATTCATTGAGAAAAACATTAAAATAGAAATATTTTACTAACTGGTGCAGCAAAAGTTTCGAAAGGGTTATTTTTTGATGGTCTAAAAGTCAAAAGTCATGAAACCAGAACATTAAACAGCATTGTAGATTCAGGTCTACAATAGTAATTATCCAAATACCATTCAGCATTATAATTGATCACATTGTGTTAATAAAATTATATATATTTGAATTATTCAAACTATTTATTATTTAAATTGAATCAAATTGAATACCTAAAAAATTTGAAAAATATATTTAAATATATTTGAGTTATATATTTGTATACCTATATATTTAAATACCTAAAAACTGTTAAAATATCACAGCGATAATCATAAGAATACAAACTAAGGTTGCATTGATTTTAAATGCAAATGCTGTTATTACCAGTTCATTGGTGAAAATCGGGTATGAAAGCACAAACGTGAGCATTAATAATATTGCCGGTGGCAGAGGCAGTGTTTTTCAACTTTTCATATTTTGTTTTAAAAATCTCTGCAATGGTTTGCGTGTTTATTGCATATAAATTTTGAAACATTTTCTTAACCTGGACAGACCTAATAATTTGCCAAATTTATTTAATGGTGCAATCCGATAGTTATTGTAACTAGTAACACAGATATAACTAAATTTATCGCAACTAGTAACACAGATATCAAGTTAATGTGTTAAACATCTAAAACCATAAACTCTGCAATTTAAAATCTTTCCATATCACGCTCAGGCTAAATTAAGAGGTACAAAGCTCGTCTCTAGTAAACAGTTTTAACTATAGCAAGATACTTTTATTTGTGCAAGAATAGATTAGATATGACACTGTTTAACATACTATCTAATTTTATCTTTCCAAAGTAAAGTTTTTGCTAAAAAAATCTACATTGCTGATGACGTTTGTTTATACTTCTCACATGGCAATAAACAGAAAAAAACTGTTTACCTTTATGCATTACAAACTCGTCAGCCTCATATGAAAATTAGGAAACTAAAACTTTAAGAATTTATAAGGTTAATATAAAAAATTAGACAGATGTCCAAAAAGATATCAGGATTATAAAGGTGAAAAAAATCAGTTACTAGGTTTATCAAAATAAATTTTGAAAAAAACCTGGGCAAAAGACGTATTTAAGACGTTGAAAATACGTTTTAAAACTTATGTTTATTGAAAATTTAATTTTTTTTTTTAATTTGTTAATATATAACATATATAACTTTTGTAATAATATAATATATTATAATATTAACTTAACTTTTATAACAATATATATATATATATATATATATATATATATATATATATATATATATATATATATATATTGTTATATATATATATATATATTGTTATATATATATATATATACATATATATATATATATATATATATATATATATATATATTGTTATATATATATATATATATATATATATATATATATATATATATATATATATATATATATATAGATAGATAGATAGATAGATAGATAGATAGATAGATAGATAGATAGATAGATAGATATAGATATAGATAGATTTAGATATAGATATATATAGATATATATATAGATATAGATATATATATATAGATATATATATAGATATATATAGATATAGATATAGATATATATATAGATACATATAGAGATATATATATATAGATATATATAGATATATATAGATATATATAGATATATATAGATTTTTTAACTTTTAAAATAATTGTGGTGCTTCAATATCTATAAATAACCTAAAAACATCTAATCAGATTTGACAACCATTTTAGCGCCACGGAAAAATAAATTTTCAAAAAATTTTTTCTTTATCGTTTTACCGGTAATTATTTACGTAAAAAGGACGCATATTTTTCAAAGGACGCAAAGGACTTTAAAAGATCTTCACAGATCCTTCTTTGAAGGATCTGTGAAGATCTTTTAAAGAAGCCGTAATGTGTAATTTAACAAAATCTTTTTACTAATACAACTTTATCTGACTAAAATCCTCGATTACAGGAACTAAAAATATTTTTAAGAGTTATTGTGAAATGTAAGTGCACTAGGTCCTAAGTGCACTTTACTGATAAATATATAGACAGTTTTTTTATAACAAACGTCTTTCTCGTATAGTTTTGCTAAACTTTTAAGGTTTTTCTAAAACTATAGATCTCAATGGGAAATCCTAAAGTTACACAATAAAATTTTTTTTTCTTAAATCGCTACAAAACTATTAAGACGATTCTTTATTCAGATTTTTTCTGAAATTTTTGTGCGAAAAAGTGTTTTAAACTCATTTAAGCGTCCGCGTTAAATGTTACGTACTTTGACATTTTTTTTCAGCCCTTTTCTTTAAAGGAAATTTTTTTTTTAAAGCGGAAAACAATTTAATGGAGAATCGGATTTAAGAACTTAATTCTTTTTAATCCTAACTTGTTACGTTTTGTTATCAATTTAAAACGCACGTATATGTATAAGTTACACCGGTAGATCATATTATAGTCAAAATAAACGGGTTATTTTTAATGAAATGCTTTATTATGCAAAATAAACGTATTATTTAAGCTACCAAGTCAATTTAATAAATTAATATCAGCACAGGATTTTAGGGGAATGAGGTTGTGCACTGCAAAACGTGTGGTGCACAACTTTTTTTT